GTACCCTCACCCTCTGTGGTTGTCTGGGGTGGTATGTCCTGTACCCTCACCCTCTGTGGTTGTCTGGGGGGGGGTATGCCCTGTACCCTCACCCTCTGTGGTTGTCTGGGGTGGTATGTCCTGTACTATGACCCTGTATGCCCGCTGTCAGCTATAATGATGTTCTATATACGGACACATCTCCTCCATCCGCAGGACCACCGTGCTGGCTGCTGTTGCCTTTCTTGATGCCTTTCAGAAAGTGGCCGACATGGCGACCAATACCCGAGGTAAGGAATAGTACGCCGGTCACACGGCGACCATCTCTTCATGTGTAATGAATGTGGATAGGTGGACGAGGCAGATGAAGAGTTCAGGAGCCAGTCAGGCCAATCCAAGATCCAGGTGATCCATGACGTCCTTCCGGCAGCAGTGAAGGGAATCAATGTGGAAGTTTTATATATCTATATATATTTTAATGATGATCTCTGTCCTGGGCGGAGCTTCCATGATCTGTCCTCAGGGGCCACGGCCAGTTCAGATATTTTCCGAAATCACTGGGACTTGGGGTGTACTTTCAGGGGCCCCAAAGTAACCGTTAGTTAAATTGTAACTCCAGACCAAGTGTGTTTTATTTCGGGCCCCTCTACACCCTCCACTAACTGACCACACCCCCACCCTGGATATTCTATAACTGACCACACCCCCACCCTGGATATCCTATAACTGACCACACCCCCCACCCTGGATATCCTATAACTGACCACACCCCCCACCCTGGATATCCTATAACTGACCACCATATTGCTCTCTATTTCTCGTAGTGCCCTCATGGAGAGCTTAATAACTCCTCTCCAGGAAAGGATCGAGGACTGGAAGAAGACTGCAACCACAATGGACAAAGAGCACGCCAGAGGTGAGACAACCACACGATGACCCTTCCGTCCGGGCTCTAGATTGCCGTATTCAGGACCAGAGATGGAGCTCCCATGGTCAGGGGACCACATTGCCGTATTCAGGACCAGAGATGGAGCTCCCATGGTCAGGGGACCACATTGCAGTATTCAGGACCAGAGATGGAGCTCCCATGGTCAGGGGACCACATTGCAGTATTCAGGACCAGAGATGGAGCTCCCATGGTCAGGGGACCACATTGCCCGGCCATAGTCTTGAAGTTCTGGAATGGGGAAGGATGAGGTCCTGGGTCTGGTCAGGTTTTTATTGTGCTCTGTGTTCAGGTGATGACAATGGAAACGCTGAGTACAATCCAGCCTGACACGGGATCAGA